TAACTTACCGGTAGGTACTTAGGAGTCTAAGTCTTATTGATTTTTCAATAAGACATAAGCAATTATGAATGTTTTAGCCTGGTTATATCATGCTGGCGTACCAAAAATGTATGCTAGTAAAAGGTTATGAGTTAAATGAGAAATTTGATCCTAAGTCTAGATCAGATCTCATACACTGTTTGCAGGTATTATATAAGTAATATCTGTGGTGAGAAGCTAAACAAAATTTAGATCCAAAATTAAATATCCATGACATAAATCCAGTCAAGTAGTAAAAGCTGGCAGAACTATGCTATTTTCATCACACCACATATTTTTTTTGCTTTCAGCTTCTTAAAAACAAAATCAGTATTTTTCTTCTCTCTCAAGACATGTATAGTAAAACGTGTGTTATCCGGCATGCTCGGGGATTAGGGCGTTCCATTTAGCTAAAAATTCCGGTTATCTGAGGGTCCCATCAACCTAGGAAAAACCAATGGCCAATAATAGTAAAACTCAAGTTTTTAATATTGGTAGTTCTGTCGTGTGAGGAAGTTGGTCTCACATTTCTATCTTAGTTAACGATGATTAGTGCTTCTTAATTAAAAAATTGTTAAGCCAATCGTGGTAAACCAAGCCAGGCTTGTGTGCCTGAAGATGTGACAGTATTGTGGCTGGGGGCAATGCCAGTTAAAGTTTTCTGGTTAACAGAGTGCTGGATAACAAAGGTTTCACTGTATTAAGATTCTGTCATATCAGGATTTTGACTTTGTACCATATTTGTATTTGAACCCTGACAGGGGAGAATTTTGAAAATCTTAATTCACTGTGTAACAGACAGCTTGTGATCAGAACTAGGCACTAAAAACAGGTTAGCAATATATTCCAAATATTTTAAGGTTCTGAATTCTTCTGAACTTCCTTTCATTTTTAAAAGCCATTATACCTCTTAATCCAAATTTGAGTCAAAGGGGGAAAATGTCCTCTAGTGGCTAAGCAGTCATCATCCTTGATAACTCTTCTAGTTACTTCTCGCATTTCAATCTCTCATCCTACCTCATTTAAAATCACAGCCATTTTTCCTTTCACTACTGCCACCAGCTGAGTCTGATGTGATTGAACATTAGTCCTAGAATAACAGTGTACTAGACATACCTGAGCCTGTGCTGACTCAGTTATTCTCCTAAAGGTCTCACACATACTGAACAGGAGTGACAAAAACTGAGCTCTGTGTGGTGTCTCGCATATATCTTGGGGGAAAAAAAGACTAATTGTCCCAAACTACCCTTTGGAATCTTCCAGAAAAGTCTGGCAGAATTAATGAAGAACATCTTTGTTAATGTACAGATCACAGACATCTCATGATCAATTGCATCAAAGACATTCTACAGATTTAATAAACAAAGATCAAACACCTTTTCCTCATCAACCGTTCAGACAGCAACTAGCCTAAACAATTCAGTTTCTCCCAAGCCTTGACCTGGGTCCTCACTGAACAGGGTTTTAGGAGGTTAAGTAATCAAAGACATGGCTAGATTTGACATGACACATCCCTTCTCAGTGATCTTTCTTAAGCATGGTTTGAATTAGAGAGGATATGAAGTAAGAAAATAATATTCATAGCAAAATATGTTTTCAGCCAATGAGAATGGAAATGTGTGCCTTTTAAAAACTTCTTTAACTGTGGCAGAAAATGTAACTACTTCTGAACATGGATTTGGTGGTGACTGGCTTATAGAAAAATTCCACACATTTTCACCCACAAAAAACAGCTGTACACATTCTCTAACTGCCATGATGCACACACATTTTTTTTTTAAATTAACATCAGATGTAATTAATATTAAATATATGGGCACAAGACATTTAACAATGAGATTCAGTTTTAAAGTAACTATTTCATTCATTTGAAAGGTTTTCTAGAAGAATATTATCATTTACACCAAAATGGCAATCATTTGAAGTCCAAATTAAGGACCACAATGTTTCAATCTCTTTTTTTTTTAAATCAACAGTACTTTAAAATGTCTGCTTCACAATAAATGCTATATTGCTCCTTTCAGCTATGTATAATTATTTCATTATCTTTTCTGAAAGCATCTAACTCCAGTCTGCACCTCCTGATCAAACATATGTAAAATTACCAGTCTGGGAAAAATCTTCAGTTCTCATTTAAAGTTATTGCTTTATTTATTTAACAATTTTTAGGATATTTAGGATTTTTCTCTATCTTACAACTTTGTTAGTGTCTAGGAAATTTGTCAGAGTACTGTAATTTCCTCTTTTCATTGCTCAATGGCAGAATATTTTCTCTCCTAAAATAGATTAATGAAGAGAGACTCTAGCTGAAAGTGTTCGTATCTATATTTACAATCAATACAGTGGGAATAATAAAACTATAGAATATATATGCATGTAAAGTTATTCAGTAGGTAAATGCTTGGAGCTGCAAACATCCCATTTACAATACTGATTGTGGTTTTATGTCTTACATCATTTTACCAAGGTGTGGAAAAATCACCTAGAAAATCGATTAAGACTAAGCAAAAGAAAAACAGAACATTGCAAAATATTATTCTAAACTAAGAGTAATAAACTTGGAGACATATACTGTACAGAAATCCAATCTAAAAAGCTATGCGAAAAATACAAATGCAAATATAAAAGCTGTTTAGTCATACCAGACACTAAAATTTAAAGGAACAGAGAACTGCAATGAGACACATTTTATTATGGAGTGAACAAACAATGCCCTGTTGACTTTCTATAAATATACCCGTACGTTACATGACTTACTGCTTCATTATGATCCACTGATAATGGAGACATAACCATGCATTTTAATGTAACAAAGGTTTTTCAGCTTTCAAAATTAAAATACTGTGCATTAAGATTTTCACTGTGCACTTCAGCAGTACTGGAAACATTGCAGTGTATGACCCACACTTTACTTATTGTGTGAATAACTTCAGTCTTCTGAGCTGGTAATCTAACACTTTTCCTGCTTAATCATTGAATGTTCTAGAAGAAAATGAATTTGTTCATAGATATGAAAGATTAAATTAGGGCAGGTCACTTGGCTCTTACAAACTCTAGTTCTCTCCCTTTCTTCGTATGCTCATTTTTCCCTTCTATGTTAGAAGTGGGCAGCTTGCAGCCTGCAAGCCACATGTGGCTTACCGCAGCTCTACCCGCGGCCAGTGGACCCCGTCTGCCTCCTTCCCCCATGCGCCTCTCACTCACTGAGGCCCTGCACTTCCTGCTTCTCCCCCTCCCTCACAGCACTTTTGGAGGAGCCAGGAATTGCCTGATGTGTACTCTGTCCCCATTCCTCTCCCTCCCAGAGCTGTTTGCAGCATTCCAGCTCAAGGAGGGTGGGAGAGGAGCAGGGAGGGAGCGAAGATCAGGTGTCTGCATGCTCCAGAAGTGTTAGGAGGGAGATGAGGAGCAGGTAAGTGTGGGGCTCTGGTGCCCCAGTGCGCGAGAGGTGCATAGGAGCAGGGGGACAGACAGAAAGACCACAGGACAGCATCCACCTCTCTCTCTTGTGTTGAATATCTGCTTCTGGAAACAGCATGGACACCATTATAGGATCAGAAAAGCATCTTTAAGCATGCCTGTGATATTGAGCACACCTGCAAGGCCCTGTCGGAATCATAACAGCCATGGCATATGCTATGCCAAACTTTCCCCTGAGGCAGTTCTGAAACATAATAAATTGTCCAACATTTTTCTTACAGTCTGTGAAATATAAGGGCAAGAAAATGCAGAAAGATTGGTGTGCAAGGACACTTTTAATGATCTCAAAGCATAAGGCTATCAGGACTGAGCAATTTCTAAAACGCTAAAGGCTTTTTCTTTCCTAATTACTTCAACCAAGACCCATTCCTAAGAAATTTAAGATGAAACTCATACCTAAGATTATAATAGGCAAAGTTTTCAAAAATGCCTTACATGAGCCTCTAAATTTATATATACAGAGTTTCACTTCCAAATTGGGTTAACACAAATTAAATCAGAGTTGGGTCATTTGAATTAAGCATTGATAGGAATCTGGATATCAAAAGTTGCAGGTACAATTTTGAAAGCATCTTTGAAAATATTAGCCTGCATGGTCATCTGCTACATATTAGATTTCTATTTTCTTTTACACCAAGGAACAAAGATTTCACTCAAAAGTTCTAAGAAGTGGCTATTTCACAGGTATTACTGCTTAACGATGAACAAAAAGGGGGCTAGGTGTCAATGAACTAAGCTTGGCATGGGACCAAACAGCTTCACCTTTAAATAAAAATCAACCTTTGTAATTAGGACACAAGAGGGGCTGGGGGAAGCAAAGCTTTACTTTTCATTACAAAGTGTCATTTCAAAACTATATATGGGAGCTACCACCTGGGAATTTTCTCTGTCCAAGATGACTAATTGCCACAGCTCTTGTTACAATTTTATCTATAGAGACAGGATAAGAATGACCTTAGGTGGGGAAAGCACAACAGAGTATGATAGTGGAGCTAGCTGTTGAAGAGAAACAGATGGGGATGTCAGCTATAAAAACATCAGCTATCTAATCTTAAATGTAAGAATCTGGACAATTTATATAAAATACAAGTGATGTGTCTTGAAAATTCACATTACAATAATTAAAAGACTGACCACCCTATGCTTCGTGTATAGTAGTCTCCAAAGGTGTGGGTGTTATTTTTGTTTTATTTTGTTTCTTGATTGTAATTGTGTACACACATAAAGAGACAGGTTATCATGTGTTTCCTTTTCATACTTCCACGTAGCTACCATTGAAACAATAGCATTTTACAATAGTGGCACAATATTGCTATTGCTACTCGAAGCACAGCTCTAAGTAGAGGACTATCCAGTTATATGACAGAGTCTGTGCTCTCCCCAGAAACAAAAGTCACATCTTCAAAACATCCCAGAAACAAATATTACTGCCATCAGAAGGAGCCTCTGGCATCTGCAATGGGGGACTGAATCGGTTCCTCTAAGTGTGATTTCAAGTCAGTAACTGCCAAAATTGGCAGCAGCTGCTGCTGCTAGTGTGCCCGTCAGTCAGATTGAGAGGTTATGAGGTGAATTTTCAGAACTGATCATTTTGACTGAGTGTTTGTGAAATTGTGATATAGGGGAAGAAAGGAAGAGAATCAAGTGAGGGTGGTGACATATGATCAGCAGCTAAACACTGGAGAAACATTCTGGAGGGTACACAATAGATCTTATTAATGTCTTTATCTAGATAGTTGCCAGTCTGAGAAAAGGGAGAGATGATTTCAGTCCCTGGACAATCTGGGTAAGTACCAGAAAATGAAATATGTTGCTAATTGATTTGTGGGGGTTTTTGAGTGAAATCAATCTACTTATCAGTCTTATTCATTTTCTTGACAGGAAACAGATTTAAATTAAAATTGGGGTCCTGACCCCTTTTTTTTTGTCTGCTGACAGAAAACCTGTATTGTAACTTATAGTAGGAACTTCTCTAATTATCTGTCTCATTTTCTATCAAACACAATTACATAGCACTAATTATCTGCTGGGTGATAGCCAAAGTCTGGAAGATGGTAACCAATCTCTGTAACAACCTAATTAATAGACCTGATGGGTGTGTACTGTACCTGCAAAAATATAATTCAATCCCACATAATCATAACGACATCTGATTGGACACCCAATTTTTAAATTGGAAGGTAAAACCCTCATTGTTACTGCCATTAAATTACTCTTAGCATGTGTCCAAATGAGAACATGAGAAGTTCTCAGCTCAGAATAACCTCTCCAAAGAATTCACTCTTTTCAGATAATCACACAATATGTAAAACACTTCTGAGGTGTGAAAAACATTAATTAATTTGGAGTTAGATTTGCAAGAGATAAGATTAAAATAAAATAGCCATTTGGAAGAAGTTACTTATCTTGCCCAGTAACAATATTTTTCGAGATGTTTTGAGACAAGCAGCAATGGGCTTAAATTGCAGCAAGGGAGGTTTAGGTTGGACATTAGGAAAAAACTTCTTAACAGTCAGGGTGGTTAAACCCTGGAATAAAATGCCTAGGGAGGTTGTGAAATCTCCATCACTGGAGATATTCAAGAGCAGGTTACATAGGCGTCTGTCAGGGAGGATCTAGATCAGGGGTGGGGAAACTTTTTTTGGGTGGGGGGGCCTCTGGTCCACTGAAAAATCAGTCAGGGGCCGCACATAAGTGAAGGAAAAAAAACCATTAAAAAACCCCAAACAATCCCTCACTGATATTGACCCCAACTGAGAAGGAAAAAGACACTTATGTGCTCCAGCCCTGCAGTGGGGTAGCAGGGTGGGGGCAGGAGCACCAGCACCGGCTCCCCAATCCTGGGGGGGACACCAGAGCTTGGAGGGGGCAGGATCCAGTCAAGCTGGGGACCGCATCTGGCCACCAGATTTGAGGTTTCTCACCCCTGATCTAGACAGTGCTTGGTCCTGTCATGAGAGCAGGGGACTGGACTTGATGACCTCCCAAGGTCCCTTCCAGTTCTAGTATTCTATGATTCTATGATCTCCACTCGCTGGTGAAAGAATTAAGTCGAGGTACAGAATTAAGTCGAGGTACCCCAATATTTATAGACAGAAATGAACAATTTATTATTCCCACTGTATGTATCCTCTTATGCACTAATGAAACATTTGGTACCTCCCTTTTTTACTTTTTTCCAAAACATTCACTACCCCTTGTTATGCTTTCACTCTTGTTGTTTCAAACTATTTTATTATGTACTCAGCTGAGTGTTCATGTATTGTCCTGATGGAATATATTTACATACTTCCTGTGCTTTTATCAATGCTAGCAGTTCTAGTGCCGAGAGGCACTGACTTTAAGGCAAACATCTGCTTTTAACACTGACTGTTACTCATATAACTATTGCTTACTTTGGTTCAAGCACCAAGCCCATGCTTCAGGCTCTTTCTTTCTTCTACAAGTATGACTTGTACCTTCGGCAAATTAAGCGGCTAGAATTTGAAATTGGCTAGTCTCACTAAGATTACGGTTTTTCCAAAATTTAAAAAAAATGTTATCCAGAAAAAAAATAAAGTTCTTTGTCTCCAAGAGCAGACAATGTTAAATTCCACACTACACAGCACAGTAGCAGTTTCATATCAGCACAACAGCAATAAAGGCATCATTTCAAAAATATAGTAATTTAAGTAAAACACTAAATAGGAAGCTTAAGTTGTATCTTAAAGTTTGTTTTATTCAGCTGCTAAACATAGCCCTTTAAAAAGTTTCAGAGCAAGCAATTCCAAATGTATGCCAACCACTGGAACTTGTTGATGTACTGTCTGGGATTAACTTCAACTTCTAGCATTGAAAAAAAACCTCAGTATGATAAATGGCTTCATCTTGGCTCATTTCTTAGTTCTCCTTACCCCATACTCTTAACATTAAGGGTGCATCTACACTGCAAGGCTTAGCTACATTTGCATAGCTTATTTCAAGTTATTTCAATTGTGTAGCTCAGGGGTTCCCAAACTTTTTGACACGGGAACCAGTAAATCCATTCATGAGCTTTTGGAGGACAAGTAACATTCATTTGCATATTTGCATACTCATTAAGCAAATGATGAATATGCAAATAAGTAGTTTCTGGTCCTTCCAACGCCCCCAGTGCCAGCTTTAGCAAAGCTTTTGATATGGTCACCCACAATATTCTTGCCAGCAAGTTAAGGGAATATGCATTGGATAAATGGACTGTAAGATTAATAGAAACCAGACTGGTCCCCGATGAGGGATTTTTTTGGACCAGGGGAGGACATTTCAGGGTTCCTGGTTCCCCTCCCTCCCCACTAGACTTCTTTGCACCTGAGCTGCCCACCCCCACTGGTTCCCTGCACCCACTCAAAACCATCCCCCACAATCCAAGGGAGTGCAGCACCAGTTCCCTGCAGCCCCTCACAGCCCAGCTGAGCTGCCCTTCTGTTTCCTATCCCTTCCGCCCTCCATCTCAGCCCAGTTGAGCCCTGCACTGGTTCCCTGAATGCCTCCCCCACAGCACAGCTGAGCCCCGTTTCCCTGCAAAACTGCTGAGCCCAGCTCTGATTTCCTGCTCCTCCCTCCCCTTCACTTCCCTCCTCCTGCAGCCCAGGTGAGCCCAGTGCCCCGCTCCTCCTTCTCCCTCCCCCCCACAGCCCAGCCCAGTGCCCTCCTAGCATCAGAGGAGTAGCAAGGATGTTATGCCCCTTTAAAAAAAATTATCAATACCCCCTACACAGTTTTCAGACAGACAAAGTTTTTTTCTACCATTGCAACACAGTTGTTTAAACAACTTAATCATAGCTGGGTGGGCGATGAAATTTTTGGGTGTAAAAGTAATAGGTGTAACGGCGTTGTGCAAGAGGGTTTTTCTTGCACAAGAAGGGGAAGTGTAGAAAAAAATGGTGGCTCATTAGGTATGCAAATGAGGCTTGGCGATATTCCACGCTTAGCCTAATTTGCATATTACTTGCGCAAGAAGCCGCGAGTCTATACATAGCCTAAGAGTTCTCATTAAATGAGACAATGGAACTGTGATCAAAAATAATATTTGGCACTGGTTTTGAAAATCCACTTCCATTTTTCCAACTCTTGAAAGTAACAAGGCAATAATTTCTTCCATCTCTGAATGAATGCAGAATTGCTCATACAGTATTGTGTATGCGCCTTTATCAATCTAGTTTGAATGTCTCCAGAGATGGAACTTCTATAAAATTGTAGAACTGTGGCCTCAGGGAATTTTTAGTACACTCCTTTTCTCTTTTTTAATTTCACCCCATTATACCAAGGAAATATGGATATCACATGCAGAATTATGCTCTTCCATCCTTGGTATTCAGAGCTGACATATTTGTGATTATGATTCTACAAAATGCTTTAAAAGATGTACAACTTGGCTAACTTCAGACAGTATATGGAAAACAGTATGGCTACGTCTACACTGGCCCCTTTTCCGGAAGGGGCATGTTAATTTCAGCTATCGTAGTAGGGAAATCCGCGGGGGATTTAAATATCCCCCGCGGCATTTAAATAAAAATGTCCGCCGCTTTTTTCCGGCTTTTAGAAAAGCCGGAAAAGAGCGTCTACACTGGCCCCGATCCTCCGGAAAAAGCGCCCTTTTCCGGAGGCTCTTATTCCTACTTCAAAGCCGGAAAAAGCCTTCTAAAAGCCGGAAAAAAGCGGCGGACATTTTTATTTAAATGCCGCGGGGGATATTTAAATCCCCCCGGAAAAAAGCGGCAGACATTTTTATTTAAATGCCGCGGGGGATATGTAAATCCCCCGCGGATTTCCCTACTACGATAGCTGAAATTAACATGCCCCTTCCGGAAAAGGGGCCAGTGTAGACAAGCCCTATGACTTTTTTGGTAACCTGGTGACCAACTCAATCTCACAACTTTCCAAAGACACCAAAGGGGCACCAGTTTGTCAGAAAAATGAAAGGTGTAACAGAGCGACTCCTAGGACTAAAGACTTTCAGGGACCCAACACTAGTAAAGGTGCATCTTATGAAAAACAGGATCTTCCCATTAATTCAACATTTCAGACAGGTTTCTCAGGGAATTTCTAGAAACAGCTGCCTCTTTGTCTTTGAACAAAATAAGTTTTCATTCTGCAATCAAGGCATATTTGAATTGTTTAATATTCACAAATTTTATGCAATTCTTAATACTGAAATCTATTTTTACTGGGTTCTATTTTATCTGAGAAAAACACCCAGAAGTTACATGAAATTTGAAATATTAATTTCAAATCTAAGAGTTATTTTTATAAGAGCACTTAATGGTCTCACTTGAGGTTTTTCACGAGAACAGGTTATAATAGCTATTGTGTGCAACCGCAAGATAATATCACTTTCTTAGCCTGTTCCTGCATTACTCTGAAAGAAGTGGTAAGGGAAAAAATGATCTCTCTGTTGACCACTTGAAAGACGTGCAAAATGTTCAGAGAAACATGTGATTAGGAAGATACATGGATAAGGAGAAAACCCAGCCTGGAGGCATATTCAAAACAGAGGGAACAGAAAAAGAAAAAGAAAAGATGTGCCTAGAGAAGCATACTCTTAGGCTACGTCTGGACTGCAGCACTTTTCCAAGATACCCGAGGTATCCCAGAAAAACAATGCCACGTCCAAGGAACATGTCCGCTTTTCCGAAAATTTTTTCGGAAAAGTGGATGTGCTCTTTCGCCATCCCTGTAAACCTCGTTCTACAAGGAAGAACGTATGTGTCAAAAAAGCAGGTTTTTCTGAAATTTGGTGCCATGTAGACACGCCAAATTTCAGAAAAGCCTCTTTTGACAGAAAAGCAGAAAATTTTTAGATAAAAAAATTCTTGTTGGAAATTTTTCACAGAGCGTTAATCACCAATAATTCTTCAGGAATTCGTGATTTGCACATTTGTCTATAAAAGGACACACTGCTAATGGATTTGTCTCTAAGAACATTTCTTATGGAGGAGAAAAATATTGTACAGTCCTAGCTCTGGTTTGCTTTTTAAAGCTATTGTCAAAACAATGCATTAGAAACTGATGTCACTTCCCAAGTTATATCTTATGAGCAAGAGGTGGAAGAATGGGACTGCTCATGCTATGACTAATTGGTGCTCTTGATGTTGAAAGAAGCTAGGTCTCACATATACAAGTGATCTTTCTGAATGGCCCAGCTCTGAAAAATGAACCTGATGCCGTTTCTGGAAATAGTTAATATGACAGCTTCCGTTAGCACAAGCAAACTCAGACTAATTTAACTCCAGCATCTTTTTAACTTAACTAATTGATTGCTTAAGCCACACTGTCTTCAAATTATACTTTTATGTGATCACTGCATATAAGAAATACTAATAACTTTCCGGACTATGAATCCCAGAGCATGACTAAGTGTAATGGATCTTACTGCTGATTTATCACACTAGGTGACCGAGTCAGAAAGTTAGTCATTAAGAAATGCTTTCCCACTTACTACAAAATGCAAAACCTTTCCCAGAGGAGAAAATAGTATGAAACCATGATCTTACTGACACCTAAACAGTTATTCATTCAAGACTGTTCATAAAATTCTCAGATTTCAGACGTGTGAACAAATCATTTGACAAGCTACTATTAGGGTTCTGCTGGGTCAGGTGAAGCTGATCCATATTCATGCTTAGCATCTGGCATCCTCAAAGCACTTCAAAAGGATTATCCAGTTAATCTTTTGAACATCCTATTTTCCAAATGAAGAAAGAGGCAGAGACATGAAGTGACAATCACTGAGGCAGGGGCTGGGACCAAAACAATAAGTGTTTCAAGTGTGACTGACATAATTGGTTCTTGTTTATTTCTAGTGTTTGTCTAATAAACGGGGATTATTTAAATACTGTATTTTAATACCATTACAACAATGCAATAATTGATGGGCAAAGGGGCCTTCAATATGTGATCCATTTCTATTTGCCAAACTGGGGTATTTTCCCTGACAAGAGCTACAAACAGTGTAACTTTTGATTACTTCCTGACTCATACACTAGTATTGCAGAGAAAGTATTATCTTGAAGATAAGATTGTATATTGCAATTTAAGGGACAATTTGCTTCTTCCATAAAAAAGAAATACGCTTAAGTTTTACAGGCACATTCTATCTGGGAAATTTCAAACATTTGAGATTAATTATTTAAGCCATAAGGGAGATATGAAATAGGTTTTTTTAAAGGGCTGTTCCCTTTTTTAAAAAAGCTCTTTAACTTTTATTTGCTGTCCTTTCTCAAAAAGCACTTGAGATACCAAGCTTAATATGTTCTTTTCCGCTAGCCTCAGTGTAGTGCCTTTAATTTTTTTTGGTAAGTGTAGCTGCCTGCTCTTCACTTTTCTCTGAAACCAGTTTACAGGCTATATACTCTTGCCTATTTTTCCTGTTAATACATAGCCTCTGGCTCACTCTAGAACCTGGTCCTCTCTGACCTCAGGTTGATTTCCTATAATGTGGAGATTACGGACCATTCTGGATGCTGAACTAGAGGTTAATAATGCAAGTCAGTAACAGGGTCATTACAGTAAATGGTCTGAATTTTAACAAGCCCTCATAATTTGTAATATCCACAGATAGACTGTGCAGAATTTCAGAAGTCTAGAGGCCAGTCCACACTGCTGGGTTTCTTAACTATAGGTGACCAAGATATGTTAGAGACACTTTCAGATTACTGCTTCAAAAGCTCAACTGCCACCAATACAGAAACACCTATAGAACATAGCTGTAAACAAGTCCCTAATCAAGATCATTACACATTGTAGTGACTGCACTGCATCAAATCACTGTGTGTCAAAGGCTAAAATTTCAAGAAAAGCACTAAGAAAATTAATGTACAGAAAACTAAGGTAAAAGAAAAGGAAGGTTGCAGAGAAATCATTTGCTCTGAAAAAACAGGGTTTTCCAACAGTGTTTTTGATTGTTAGAAATTTTTAAGTTAAAAGATTTAGGAAAGAGAACGTTTAAGTCAGAGTTTGATTTCCTCCACTTTTTTTTAAACATGCCTACTAGACCTCTCTGACATTTTTGTCCACGTACTTAAAAAACATCCCATGTGGAAACCATATTTTCATTGAAGCTTACCTGTGGTCCTATATAACAAAGTAATAGCTGCTATGAGTAGCTACTCACCAGATCCTCTTCCAACTCATTCTCCTTTACAAGCTGTCACTAATAGTTTGTCTCTTACATCCCATACACAGTTTATCTGCACTATTCTTGATTTATGCTTAATGAAGAAACCACAAGATTGTATTTTTGGAGAACACATACTGAACAGTCGCCTAAGTAGCAATGCACTACAAAGTCAAGACTAACCTCTCTATAATTGTTACCAGGACCATTTTGAATCACCATCAGTCTCCTGGTATGAACCTATATTGAATGAGCACATATAGGAAGTCCACCCTAATGACCAGTGATGGCCCAAAGATCAGAGAGCATCGTTCTCCAATGCAAACTGGACAGGTCAGACTTACCTAAAGCACAGAGAAGTTAGCAGGAAAAATTAGATTTTGAAAAGTAATCATAGTTGTGCATGTAACTGACGGCATATACCCCAGTGGCCGGTGGCAACAGTTTACCAGGACTGGCTACCACTGCTATATGTAGTTGTACCTCTGCAAGTACAGGTGATGGCAGCTCCTGCTGCCCGAAAGTCACTGTCTTCGGCGCTATGAGAGTTACGGGAAATGGCATGGACAGGGACAACGCTTGCTGTAGCCCCCATTCGCCAGCAATGGTGACCCGTGACCAACTAGAGCTGCAAGTACCAGTGGAGGTGCAGACAAATATAGTGGCACCAATCTGCCAATGGCTAACCCTGACAAAATGGATCAGGCCCATGAGCTGGTTTTTTGTCCATCCCTGGCATATGTTGTGGTGGGGACAGAGCAATGAGTTTGAGATTATTTGTGGAGCCTAGTTTTTAATTTTCTAAAGCTTTCAAATCTTTGTTTTTTGAAAGCTTTTACCTGCATTTATAAATGTAAAGGGCATTTCCCAACAGAGTACAATAATTTGAGACTTCCTGTGTGACTTTTAGAATCTTTGTACTGAAGCTGAATACAGAAATTTGAATTTCATTACTTATCAACAGACTCCATCCAGAAAAAAAAATTCTACTGCAGTAACACGTCCTGACTTGGATCAAACAACAACGAGGTAGGTTCTGTGTAATCTGAGACATAAATTATGTGGGTTTGACCTTTTTGATTCACTCTCCCTGTAATATTTTAATAGGTTCTGAACACAATAAATGAATTACAAAGAGATATAGGTTTTCTTCCTCAGAAGGCAAATATCAAAGAAAAAAGACTTTGTAGTGAAGAGAATGAGGGAGTTTGTGGATAAACATGGTCTTGCAACTATGACAAGGAAATTCAGTTTCTATTCTAGCACACAAGGATGCAGACAAGGGCTATAACACACTAGGGGCCATTTTCTGCAACTGAACATGAGTGCATCTCCCAATGACTTCACAGGGAGTTGTAGTCTCTTGTTCAGGGGTTAGGGTTGTTAACTTTGGTTGGATGATTCCTGAAGGTCTAAACTCATGACATTTTTAATTAAAGATTAATCTTTAATTCTTGGAGACTCCAGGATAATTATGGAGGGTTGGCAACTCTATCAAGGATATGATTTGGCCTAAATGATATCAACTTCTCTCTGCAAATAGAACCTAATTCAGTAAGGAACTTGAGCACATGCTGAATACTTCAGTACTGTGCTGAGTTGATGCCTTAAATATGTATCCACAACATGAACCCCATATAATGATCCAATCACATCCAAAATGCAGGAGCATATTTTAGGTCTCCTACAAAGAAATGAAGAGCAATAAATCACAAGCACTCCAATTATCATGGAGGCTCACTTCTGCACCTTTCCTTTTCCCATGGCTTATACTGAGCAAACCAAAGGAAATTCTGACTCCTACAATAATAGTTATAATTTTACATAATTTTGTTAAAATATTAGCAAAGCTCTGGTGAGCAAATAAACATCTGATTTAAGCCAAAGCAGTTGCAAGTCTTCTAGTTAAATATGTGTGCTTGAAACTCCTTATTGTAACAAGTTACTTGTTTGTTTGTTTATTTAATTCTTACAGTGAAACTTTGGAAGAACTTTAGAAGAGCATTAAGAGATAAGCATGTGCTAGGAAATACTGCACTGATATTTTAATATCAATTGAAATATTCTGGATAGTCATTATGCCCAATTCATCCGAAGAAAAGAGCATATTAAAAAAATAACAGAGCATAGATAGCGTCATTATAGTTTACTAATCAAAGAGAGAGTACTGGCCTCCAATCAAGCAAAAATCAGGGAGAGAAATTAGTGAAGAGGAAGAGAATGATATCAGGGAAAGATAAAACAGAGAGATTTAAAATTATAATAATGTTACAGATGTAAGGATAAATTCAGGAAAGATGAACCGGTCAAAGAGTTTTAAGGACTGACCAGAAAGATTAGGATTGTTAAGAAATAGAAAATAATTAAATTGTTAATGACTAATGTTACCATTAAAATAAAATATTGTTATGGAACAATTTATGTTTCCAAAAACATTTAAAAGGTATGAAAACAACACTATTTCTCTTCCTTGTTTGTGTGGGGGAGAGGGGGAAGGGGAGACTTGTGAAATTCTACTTTCTTGTCACACTGGCTGAGATTTGTGAGGGCAGGAGGAGTGAAATAACATTGTTATTATTCTCATGATAAGAGTTCATCAACAAGCTCTGTGCTTGGACTGGTAGAAGTTTATGATGATTTTACAAGGAACACGTGGAGAGTACATATCACTAATCAATGATGATCTCATCTTTACAGATCTCGTCTTCTGTAAAGAAGGGAACAGCATCAATCCTCAGAAGCTCTACTGCTGGTCAGTCACTATATCTGTGATCTTAGGCCAGTCACTTGCATGGCACCTGGGTTCACCCATTTGTAAAATGGCAATAATTTTCAGCCACATTTCTACAGAACTTTGGGATGTATAGAAAGTATTATGCAAGCTTCCTAATATAACCTTGCAAAACCTTCTCAGCTCTGACCTTTTATTCAGATTCATTTGGTGTGTAAACTATAATTTTACCATATAAGAAAAGTATCAAGGGTTTGGTTGTGAACCTTGCATGATTTAAATCAGATTTTATCCCACACTTCCACAAGTGTAAGACAAAATAACTCAATGCTTCTTCCAGTTTGCCAATATCATGCTATGCTTATTACAAATACTTTGTTACATACAATATATTTGCAGCTGAGATTTTTTTAAAAATAATGTTCTATTAAGTATATTCCTTATAACAGATATATATTAATAAGTCTTTCTATCCATCATGTCTTGGTATTTTGTCATGTTATCAGTTACCTCTCTGAAATTCAAGACTATATCACCAGTTCTCTTCAGAAATCATGAAAGGAACTGACAACAAGACAAAGAATTTAGAGTCTGGGAACTTTTAAAATTTGCCCTTCTTATTAAGGATATATTAAAATTAGGACATTGGTTAATTGCAGTTAAATTATGTGATTAACCCCAAATGAATTGCACTGTTTGCATTTATTAAACATTTTGATGATTTTCTACAGTTTTGAATATATTAATTTCAATCACAATACGGAATATAAAGCATACTGTGTTCACTTTATATTTTTATTAAAAATACTTGCACTGTAAAAATGATAAACAAGAGAAATAATTGTATTTTGCAATTCAAATCATACAAGTACTATAGTGCAATCTCTTATCATGAAAGAGCAACTTACAAATGTAGATTTTTTTATTACGTATCTGCACTCAAAACCAAAACAATGTTAAAATTTAGAGCCTACACATCAACTCAGTCCTACTTCTAGTTCAGCCAATTTCTCAGAAAAATAAGTTTACCACCATTTTCAGGAGATAATGTTGCCCACTTTTTATTTACAAAATCATTTGACAGCGAGAGCAAGTATTTGCATAGCACTGTTGTAGCTAATTTCGCAAGATACTTATATGTCAGGCGTGCTAAAGATTCAAATGCCCCTTTATGATTCAACCACAATTCCAGAAGACACATCCATGCGGATACCAGGTTCTGCTCAGTGATGGTCCAAAAGCAGTACAGACCATCACATGTTCAAATGAAAATGTATGATCTGGGTCAGCTGCCACCAGCAGAAGGTTGAATTTCGTCTTTGATGGTTTGGGTCTGTAATTTCTGCACTGGAGTGTTGCTCTTCTAAGATTTTGGAATGCATGTGCCACACCTGGCCTCTCAGATTTTAGAAGGCACTTCAGATTCTTAAATCTTGGGTTGAGTGCTATAGCTATTATAGCAAAGTTCTGGCTGTGCCTCGTGGCTCCTGCACTCCTTAAGCAGTTATTATATGCATCAGCAGCTCGCTGTGACCTTCGATGCTGCCTCTTATGTTTTTCTAGAGAGTGGGGTTACAACTTATTGAGCCATTTTCATCATTGGCAAAGTCAATGAATGGGGAGGGGAAGATCCCACCAGAATTCCTAGACCTCCTTTCCCCAGAATTGGTTCTTTCTGTGGTCTGGAGAGGTTGGGGGGAAACCCAGGCCTGCCCACTACTGGGTTGGGTTCTGACCTAAGGACCTTAAGCAGCAATAACTGCTCGGGTTTCTCCCTCTAGCCCTGAGACAGCAACCTTTTCCCTGAGACACTTCCCCAAACACTCCCCTAGTAGCTTTCCCTCTGGTACCTGACTGAATCTTTCCGTTCTCAGCTTTTCTGCAAACACACTTCCTCCTCTCAGTCCGTCTCTCTTCTCCTTCCCTCTTACCCAGGAGAAACCTTTTATAACAGCTTCCCGGGTTTAATTGGCTGCAGGTGTCTGATTAGCCTGTTTCAGGCCAGCTATTAACTAGCCTCAGGTGTCTGCCTGCCTTAATTATCTGGCAGCAGACTCTAGAGTTTATTCAGGGGATACAAAACTGTTTATCCAGTGCCCTGCATACCTGCCCTCCATTAGAGTGTGACAAACCGCTAGTCTGAGTCTGTTACACTATTTTTAGAAATATCATATTGGTACCCTCCGTGTTTTGTCAAATCTGCTGTCAAAGACTTTTTAAAATGAGCATGTGTTGGATTGGCATTGGAGACAACTAGAACATGAAATATATGGCAGACTGTGGGTAAAATACAATTCTCCCCCAATTAGTTCAGTCACAAATTAACATTTTTTTTTTAAAACAAGTGTTATCAGCATCGTAGCATCTCATCTGGACTGGTGCCCTAGGCATGAAGGGGCATACAAATGTTCAGTATATCTGACATGTAAATATATATTGCAATGCTGGCTACAACAGTGCCACACAAATGCCTGTTCTCACTTTCTGGTGACATTGTAAACAAGAAGAGAGCAGCATGATCTCCTCCAAATGTAAGCCCACTTGCTTCTCTGAGAAAGTGGCTAAACAAGAAGTAGGACTGAGTGGACCTGTAGGCTTTAAAGCAGCATTCTTCAAAGAGGGGATTGGGCCCACTTTGAGAAAGCTGCTAATGGGCTGCTCCAGTTCGTTTTCTTAATGGCTCCGCAGCCACGGAGCCTTGTTGCTCCTATTGGCTGCAGTTTGCCGTTTGCAGCCAAAGGGAGATGTAGGAAATAGCATGGCCCAGGTCACTCCTTCCCTCTTGGCTGAAAATGGCAAACCACAGCCAATGGGAGAAACAAGCCTCTTTGGCTGCCAAGCCATTAAGTAAACAGACTGGAGCAGCCCATTAGCAGCTTTCTGAGAAGTGGGCCAGTGGCCCACTTTGAGAAACACTGCTTTAAAGATTTACACTGTTTTATTTTTGGATTCATAATTCTTCATTTGTAAGTTCAACGTTCAATTAAAAGAAACTGTACTACAGTACTTGTATTATATGAGTAGAAAAATACTATTTTTTTCAGTGTAAATATTTAAAACCAAAATACAAAATAAATACTATACACTTTTTATTCTGTGGTGTAATTGAAATCAATATATTGGAAAATGTAGAAAAATCCACACATATTTAAATAAATGGCATTCTATTATTGTTTAACCGAACAATTAATTTTAATTACACTATTAATCACAATTAAGTTTTAAATCACTTGACAGCCCTAATTAAAACAGTTAAATGTCTGAAGTCAAATTGAGCCAGCTATCAAGTCTCAGTAATTATTTTTGCATTTTTTCAAACTTTTTATTAAGTGAAATAATAATAAAATGTGCACTTGTACAAGTAGAGCCCTGCAAATCTGCAGATATCCTTGGATATGGATGCAGATGTCTGTGGCGCATTTTTGTATTTATAAAAATATAAATTTTGTATCTTGAACCCTGCAAATCTGCAGATATCCGTGGATGTGGATGTGGATATCTGCTGATAATTTTGCATATGCAGATGTGGAGCAGATATCAATTTTGTGTTCATGCAGGCTGTTAATATGAGTGTGGTCCCCCGCCCCACAACCCTTCCAACAATGCATCTTCCGCACAGAAACAAATATGATGGATTTTTAACTGGAGTCAAATGCAATCTATACAGTGATTTATTAAAAAAAAATGTTATGAATTACACACATTTAAAATGTGTGACCTCTTTCCCATTTCTTTAGTTTCACATTTTAAATGGAGAATCTCTCAATACAATTGAAAACAAAATCAGCATGGACCAGTTGACCAATAGCTGTTCTATGTGCAGTCATCTAAGTTTGAGGCTTTTGAAGGATTTATTATATATTTGAAAAATACCGTACAAACATACAAATGAGGAAGGTTCTTGGTGCACCAGTTGTGAAGTGTTCCAGCTTGTGTTGATTAATCATGAGAAATAAGTAGTTTATAATGGCAAAATATGAAACCTCTCAAATGAACAAACAAGGGACTTTTAATGGCTGATCACGCCATTCTGTTTAGAATCCTGTTACCAAAGGGAACTGGTTTAGCCTCTCTTTTAGAATGCACAGAGAGTTTCATCTACTGTGATCAACTATGAGCAGTATCTATAGAGGAAAAGTCAAATTCCCAACATGTGCTCCTGATGAAGCAAAATGGAACTGGACATCAAAAGTGAAGCTCCAGCATTTCAAAGTGGCCGAACAGATATTCATTAAACATTGAATGTCAAACTCCATTTCAATTCATTTACAGAACATTAAATATACCAAAGAAAGTACTGATGAGTGACATTAATGCACCAACTGCCTCAATGAGACATGTGGGCTAACTGAATGAAGTAATTTGTGGAACACTCATTAGCTTAGCTAGGTCAAATACAGAGGACCTTGTAAAGCAAAATATGTGGCCTGCTAAATCTGAGATGTCAGTTGGGATAATGGCTGAATTTAAATATGATTTCAGAGAGAGTGAGGAAATACTTGGGGAATAAATTATTTCTAATGACTAAATTGTGTTTAATATTTACTTCTGTTTGAGGTATTTGAGAGCATGACAGCTGATCTATTTTATCTATTTATACAACATAATATAGAGCACTCTGTGACATACTGAGTCACAATCCAAAGTAGCAGGGGGCTGTGTCACCCTGTCCTGCAACCTTGTGTGCCTTACAGTAGAAGCTCCCACCTAGCCTTTCAGCATTCAAGCTACACCCAGAGTATCAGTGTATAATTTTTACCAGCCTTAGTTATACTTCAGGGTGATCCCAGTTCTAGATCTTCCTGCAGAAATGCATGTCCTGTACTGCCCAGCCTTCTCCTGGACAGTACAAATATATCAAGCTTGTTATTCCTTTAATAACAATTATGCCAGTTTATTGTTTTAAACAGAGTACCGAAACCACTCCAATTTAAGCACACTGCAAGTGATAAAACAATAAAAGAAGTTTACTAACTACACGGAGATAGATTTTAAGCGAGTACAACTAATGAGGCATGAAA